TTTTTTTTTTCTTTGTACAGAAGAGTACTGTATTTTTGAATAGCCTACTCCCAAGTAAGAGCAAATCTGTATGATAACGTTTTTTTCTCTGGACATAAGACATTATAACAGTAACATGATGTACATTTACAAGCGGCCTTATGTACATTTCCCAACAATCTTTTTAAGGCAAAATTGTGACCATATGTGTATAATTAAAATCGTTTTTAATCCTTTGCCTATGAAAATATTTTGGAAAAAAACTTGCTTTGTATATTCAGTTTCTGAAAGATAAAGAAAGTGCTTTGTATTTTGTTGAAGTCAGTATTTTGTATAAACATTTATGTTGACCCATTTATGTTTAATGCTGAAAACTAAAATGAACATGCTATCTGTCATGAGTTGAACATGGAAAGGATTTTTTTTACTAGAGGTCTGCAGAAGAAAAGCAATCTTCTGAGCACAATATTATTGAATTTAAAGATTTTATCACTTAGCCATTCATATCTTGAACCTTAAAATAATAGCATAAACATTGGGGTGCCAGGAATACCTTTTATGTTGGATGTTGTTATTCTAGTTTTCTAACCCGACATTCCTTGGTGACGCCATTAAATCCAACCACTTGTCATTCACTGTTCCTTCTCAGTCACACTGGCTCATCAGCATGTCCTTTTCATAGTTATCAGTATTCCCCAGTCCCTTAAAAAGCTGCTCTCTTCATCCTTTCCTAATTTTGTTTTGCCAGCCTCAAGAGTCTCAACCCCGTGTCAAACCTTTCTTTCCACTTTCAGCCCCTGGTCTCAGGATCAAAGCTTTTCTTGTTGGAGATTGGTACTGACTTTCCTGCATTAATACAGTTATTCCTAGTTTGCCTTTATCCTTACCATACTCTGTTGGCACAGGCAGTTATCACTGCAGTTTTAAAAATTCCAAGTCCTAGAGAATGTTACATTGGGAAACAACCCTCCCAATACTTAAGTATATTCTAGAAAAATTCCTGTTCTTGTGGAAACTTTATGGTCTGCCATTTTTGCTGCCCACCCCAATTCCCTATTCTACCTTTTAGTATGTTGGCATGGAATTTTAGTAAAGTCTGACATTTCAGAATAAAGAAATTAACTGGGCAGAACCACTTAAGCTCAACTCTTTGAGTGTCTCCTTTTGATATAGGTTGTTTCTGGACCAGTTTGTCTAAGTCCTGGCTCTTATTGGTTCATTTGAAATGTTATCTTCACTTCTTTGTATATTATGTATAAATTAGAAAATGAAAAATGTGTGAATAACATTGTATGAAATAAACCTGGTCTTGTGTTTTTCTCTAGATAAAATAACCCTCTGCATCTCAATTATAATTAAGATTGCCCATTCAAGTTTATTCCGACTTAAAGAAAACAATATTTTTATCCAGTGGATGGTGTTCTGGGGTCACATCCTTCTAATGGTGTTAATCCCATCTTTTGATTAATATATTAGACCTAACAATAATTGCATGCAATGATTARTTTCATTCTTCATAGGATGAAACAGAGCCTGTTTCCTGATTAGGGAAATGATACATCTTAAAACCTGTTTTGAAAATTAAATCCCATACCTTTACACACAGGTATGTGCTTCCTTTCCCCATGAACCTGGGGCAGAGGTTAAAGAAAATACAAGTTGGGTTCTTCCCAAGTTTAGTTTTATCTTGATTGGGGTTTATTCTTAGCTACCCCTTCTTTCTACCCTAGCTTACCAACCTAAGAAAGATACTGTCCACTTTCCTAGTGTCCTAGGTAGTTGTGTCAGGACGTTTTCTGTCGTGCTGGGGAAGAGCCTGGAGCCTGACTGCTGTGCACAGAACCTCAGAGCTGGAGAGGACTCGACCCTGGGGAACCCAGTGCTGGTGTGTGGTAGTAAACTTGAGTACCTCCATAGGGCATTTCTCCAGTTCATTGGTTAACATTGCAGTATAAATTTTATGTTCACCAAGGAAGCCTTTCATTCAATTCAGTGTTTCCTGGGTGTGAAGAGCTATCTGATGATTCATTAATGTGTTTTAGAGTTGAGCCACAGGTTTATAGCTAAGTGAAGAACAACTTTCAGTGTGTGTCCATCCACCTGAAGTAAACCACAATAACACTGCTCAGAAAAGTTATGCTAATTTGACTTCTAGGCAAAAAAAGCACTGAATTGAGAAAGATCTTTCTAAATCATTCCTTCTCGGCATCTGCCTGAACAGAGTGAAGATGTACTTAAAAATCACAGGTGTCACCTTCTGAGTCAGAAGATTATTAAAGAATGTTGCCTACTAATTCCTTAGAGCCCAACCATCAATGACTTCTATGGCAAGTCAAGGGCTGCTTGAGGTGATTTGCTCACACGTTACAGGAGTGGCCTGGGTCCCCAGCAGTGACTGGAAAGCTGCTGAAAATCGGGGTAGGGCCTTGCCTTCACTGTAGGCAGTGCAGCTCAGGGCGAAAGCTAGGTGGAGCTATAGAAATAAATTAGGATGAGACAACTGGGAGGCTGGGATAGATTTATTGAGCACCTACTTTGTGTCAGGTGGTATTCTAGATGCTTTGATACAGCTCCAGAGCATGCAGCATGCAGACAGAATGAAGTTCTGGAATACAAGCAAGTCTGTAGTTGGCAATAGGGAGGCATCCCAGGTTCTTGAGCAGGGGAGTGAAGGGTGCAGTGCTGCAAAGAACCCACCAACAGGGTGGACAAAGCAACAGAATTTGGAAGAAGGGGATGACTGCATAGTTGGCACTGAATCACCCGTGCAGGCCTCTTAGGGGAGGAAGCCTTGAGAAGCACCTGCTGGGCCTCTCCTACACCAGGGATGGGGTCCTCCTGGAGAAGGAAGGGATGTTTGAGAGCGGCTCTGTTCCACGCCTTTCAAAACGGGTTCTGGTCTGGGGTTGAGAGTGGGGTATAGAGGGCACCCGAGATCTGAGGAGGGAGAGGGTCGCCACCTGGAATGGGAGGATGACTTTATATGCCAATTCCACTTCCTTTCCGGGTAGGGTGCAGAACAAAGAAGGGACCTGGAGGTCCAAGCTGTCAGGAAAGGGCTGTCTCCAGGTGACCCAGAATCCCGCTACCCCACAGCTGGGTGCAAGCATCGGCTTAGACGGTTGAGTCGCCTTAGACACCCTCAACCCTTGGGATTTCAGCTTGCTCATCAGGCCTGACTCGGCAGGTCTGCCCAGGCTGAGGCGCCCCCTGCCGGCCGGGCCTGAGCTGCGTTGCCCTCCCACCATCCTGCTGCGTGTTGGGGGGGCCTTCCCAAAGTCAAGTTGCCCTGCACCTTGGGGAGTCTCTTAAGCTCCAGAAGTGTTCTTCCTTTAATTACTTGTAGCCSATCACTCCTGGGCATTACACACACGTGCCCTACCTCCCTGCACAACGAAAGAATCCCCACCCACCAACTCGGTGGCTTCAACAGTCATTTCATGACTGCCCCCAACTCCATCTTATATCCTAGCAGTCATACCTTAGCCAACCCAAATCTCTTTCCTAGGACCCAGACCCTGAAGTCTTAAAAATCCAACATCTCCAACTGCATCTTCCCCAAATATGTCCCAAACTGAACCCATCTTCTTAACCCTCTTCTTCATCCTCTTTCCTTCCTGGATTAATTGGCACCTAAAGCCATAGGTGGACAACTAATTTTATTATTATAAGTATCTCCCCAATATTGCATGGGATATAGTAATACTAAAAAATGTACCTGTAATTTAACTGTGTGTCCATGCTTTCATTTGCTAATCTGGAACCCTACTGCCTCTCTCTCTGATGAGCCAATTTGCCCCACTCTTCTAGATCATCCCTGGAAGTCCCTGGAGACTTCTTTAGACAGATACAGGGGATCATGACTTCAAGTAAAATGTGTTGATTCTCTGATGGCTAAATACTGCAATCGCTTGTTTTCGTGGGTTTCTCCAGCCAGATTGAACCTCTGGAAATCCAGACCAGATGCTTTTCTCTCTGCCTGAACCCTGATGTTAGGTACTTAGAAAATGCTTCCAAAAGAAAGAGCCAAAGTCAAGAATGCCAGGTTTAAGTGGTCTGTCTCAATCAAGGGCCATTATGGGATTCATCAGCTGCTCTGCTCAATGGTCTACACTGGGCTGGGGGTGTGACTCAATGATAGAGTATTTGCCTGGCATGCATAAGGACCTAGGCTTGATCCCTGGCACTGAAAAAAAAAAAAGTGTTATGCTTGAATGAATTCTTATGGTTAAAAAAAATTCAATCAAAACCACACAAAGTACAAAAAACTCTCCCCTTACCTCCACTACCCTTCAGTTCCACTCCCCCACTCACTGCTAACAGCTGCTAACAATGTAACTTCCAAGTCTTTTTCAGTGTATTTATTAGGCCATAATGAAAAGGCTAATAAATTCCAAAAAGCTGAAATCATACAGAACACATTCACTGAGTAGAATACTGTAGAATTAAGGGGATCAAAACTATATTCTAGAGAGAGAACTGTATCTATTAGAAAAGTCTATATTTTAGAATGAATTAGAAAAATAGCTTAGAAATTTTTAAAATAGCCTTCTTTGTTTTGATTTTAAGTTTGAATTTATGTTTTGAAATAAAAATGCAATAACAAATTTTTACAAAACTGTCACTCAGGAACACATCATAAGATACCATTACATGCTACATTGTCTTAGAAAAAGTCAATAGATCGAATCAATTAGCTGTAAATTAAAACATGAGTTCCTTTCTTTGGGCAAAAGAAAGCTCATGTGAAATGCTGGACAAAAGCCAGTGAGACCTGCCAGTATAGTCAGTAATGGCTCAATGTTTCCAGGTGTGAGGAAGCCAGGATTCTGGCCTCGTTGGCTGGG